AACCCCTGGTCCAACCTTTGCTAATTCATATGGTTGCACAATTTGTAAACGGCGACGACAAGAACTTTTCCCTGCAAATAAATGTGAAAATTTTGTGGGAATGGAAGAAGTTAAAAGGAAATTTAAAGAAACTGTTTGCTGCCTCCCAAGCAAACTTACGTTCCATTGGATACACACTGGAGGAATCAGCCTTCGATCGCGTCGCCAATTTATTGAACACCAGAACGAATAACTGCACGAGCAGTGACTGTAACCAGCCACTATACAAACTAAAATTCGACATGCGAACACTGAATCCCCCCCGGCCCTTTGTCGAATTTTCTTTTGATTGCTACTCGGATCGCTAATCTTTGTTTTTCAGGGCTTTAGTCAGTTTGAGCTCTGTTAAGGAATGTAAACTTACTTACCCGCCGTTTTGGTTTGTAAAGAGCTAAAACCCTTTGAAATACAGAAGTAAAACATTACAGACCATTACACTGATCGTCGGCTTCTGTGCACTAAACACTCAATGCATTGTACACACAATCAAGATCTCGCTCGCGCAAAGATAATTCGACATTTCATCATTCGTTCTGTGGTTTAACTTTCATTACCAAATAAACTGCCAATACATTAAAGCAAAAGCGAGTTTTTAAAATATCGCTGCAAAATATGCGCATATGTGCGATTTGCCATTAAAAGGAGAAACAGTAGCGAACTGCCCCCTTTGTTTAGTTTGCCACCTACATCATATTAATGAGCATCCGAGTGCGTTCCAGGCAACCAATCGTTGAGACGCTTTCATAGAGTCCACGCATGATATAACAGATCTACAAACTTTGTTGAACTGGAAGTAAATGTCTCGAGAACAATAAGCATTCTGCGCGATGCTTCATTTTAAAAGTTAATGCAAGCCTTTTATTTTTATATTCAAATGATAAAGTATGTAAAACCGATTAATCTAACAAACATTATTCCCCAAGCACCTGAAAGTATTTTGTGCGCGAAACTCTGCAGCAGCGACATCCTTTCCAAAAACACTCATGTAGCTGGCTTAACTAGGATTGTTTAGAGCGTGAAACACGAGATCCGCGCGTGGAGCGCTACACAAGGGAGAAGAGAAAAAGAAACGAACACCTCTAAAGAGCAGTCCACCTTAACGTGGCTCCCTAGAATATTTACTAATACCCCTAGCTATCTAGCACACGTTACAGAACGAACTCTAGTTACTTTGTCTTTGCGATTTTGTTCACGAGATTCACCTCTAAGATTACCCATATAAGAAGGCTCCTTTATCAAGTTTCACTTTCTGGATAAGGGCCGTTGCCATGGCAACATCGCATCCTTAAACAGGCAGTAATTTTGTCATTTTTGATCATTTTTTCTAAATATTTCTTATTTCCCTGGGTGAAATGTCTTTAAACTTTGCCACTTTATATTAACGGTATTGCTTAACATTTTAAAGTGGAAAAAACATGGGGTCGTTAAGAGGGTTTTGCCATTATTTTGAAATTTGTAATTTTTCTTAATGGAGGAATTTAGCTCTTACAGATTTTAACAAAAAAAGGAGGTACAAAGGTACTGCAACTGTTAAGAAATGAGGCGATTTTTAAAAAAAATTACCGAAGGAAACGCGAGAAATTCACGGTTAATTAACTACGTTGACGTCACGAAAATCCGAAAAACACGGGTGGTTCGGGGTCGTATGAGCAAAGTACACGCGCGAGCCATCACGCCCGCATGCGCATAATGCACAAAACTACTGAAAACATGTGGTTTCTTTGAAGAGTACGGTGAGGTACGAAAGTCATTGTTTTGAAGCCGTTTATCAGTATTATTACGGTGATATCTCGCCAGTTGAAAAAGGAGAGATAGCGGATTCAATTTTATACCTAACACAGGATGTTTTCTTCGAAGTACTTGACTATTGTAGCTAAAATTGGAACCGTGGTGGTCACTCGTGAGGACGGCGATCGTCGGAGATGAAGACAGTGGTTGTACAAGGATCGCAATAAGCCCTTCATTTAATAATCTGCTTTACACTGTTTGCAGATCTTCAAATGTCGGCCTACTTCCGGATACTTTTTCAACCTTGTTCTTCCTTAGGAATAATTTCGACGGCGAAGTTTTTCTTTAAAAGTCTGCTGTAAAAGGTGGCGCCGATCTATAAATCGTGCATCATGTCCTCAGCTACACGTACAAGACCGTAGGTTTCGACGGAAAACTATTGCTTTCATCAAGGGTCAATCTGTGAGTAGAAATTATTTCTCTTTGTTCAAAACATTGTCCACTTACTTCGACTATTTAACGTTTGTCCACTTTTGAAGCGAAAGAATTGATGTCTGGAAATTTTCTGCTTTGTTTTTACATACAATTTAGTTTTATGGAGATCGATAATGACTTGTAACCGGTGTAACATTGTCTCCTCTGATAAAGGTTTGACCTACACTAATCAAACTTTTTGCACAATGAGCTTCAATAGAAAGTTAATAAAGTTTTTTGGGGGGAATATTTCGAAACCGAGAGGCCATGTTTGTTTTAATTTGTGCGTGGACGTCGGTCGGCATTAGATTCTACCCACCAAAACCACATCGATCGAGAGGGACTGAGATTGACTTTTGGACACCTTGTGACATGTTATACCAACGAAAGATGCCTACGATGTTTTGACGTATTCGCCTCCCGGGGATTCGCCTTTCTTTTGCTTTGGGCTTAATAATATTTGGGAGATCGAGTTCTCGCCAACAAAGGGTGAATATAACGAGTCTAACTGTATTTTGGCAAATATTGTACGTGAAGTTTTAAAATATGTTTCAGATTTCATGGGTCTACGCGATACACATCTAGCACCGAACAATGTCGGTGGTTTTGGTGGATGTTGAAGTCTACATCCACCAAAACCACTCAGGGTTTAATTTTTTTAAGCGCATAGTTACGCTTCTGCAAAGTACTGACGGACTTTTTTAAGACCATACTCATAAAGCATAATAATTATTGACACAAACAAAATTTTAATCATGGTTTTTATATAAGTTGTTATTATTTACACATACAAACTATTTTATTTTCTTATTATTATTTATTATTTTTTTAATGTGCACTTGTGAGCAGCACACTTACACTTCCAGTGAACATTTTCACTTGGGAGAAGGAGAAACCATGCTTGCCCGGGGCAACGAAAATTCTCGTGCCCTGGGCGAGAGTCGAACTCGCGACCTTTCAAATCCCATCATCAGTCCCGGGAAACAAACAGGAACATCATGGCGGGAATTTTAAGTTACGAACCCGCGTTCGATGGGAAAATTGCTGCGAATTTTGGATATGTTTCTGAAGTTCAAAAGCCAACTGACGATTGCGTTTTTCGCTGCCGTCAATCATCTTAATGGACCTCTTAGGAAACAAGACTTTACTTTAATGGGTTCAAAAGGTCAAGTTTTGTGATTTGTGATTGGTGGATTTCGATCCGTTTTGTGTTTTTCTGTGTTTCAAGGTTCGTTGCTTGTGGTCGTAATTATGATTGAAGGCAGCGAAAAACGCAATTGCGAAGGCGGCTTTTGAACTTTAGAGTTCGCATGTTTGTGAAAAGCGCAGTAAAGCTGTATTATGTACATTCATAAGTCTCAGAAATTTAGAATTTTGGAGGTCAAGATATGTAGACTGGAATGCTAAAATCCATGCCGGAAAGAAACTTCTTCTTGCAGGGGTGGGGGAGTATAAAGCTCACGCGGTATTTACACCTAGCTATATATCCTGGTTCCAGAGGTTGTTCCTGATTTTTCTCCGCGTGAGAAAGAACGAGCACTTACCAGCGAGCTTCGCGATTCGTTCTCGCCGCTCGTTGCTCGTTTCCAACATCTTACTAAAATCTCAGTCATTATGTATGAAACTGTATCCCCTGATATATTTTCTGCACCCCCACGTGAAATGAACGGAGCCTTTCTCGAGCCTTTCTCTTTCTTTCAGCTCCCAGTACAGAAGTGTAGTACACTCTGCTGGTATAGTAGAATTCCGACTTCACTAACGCTAGAGCCCTAATGGTTCAGTGGTTAGAACGTCCGATCTAGTATTCGGATGTTCGCTTGTTCGTGCATATCATCCGTACATTTTCCGAGAATCTTCGGTTACGACTTTTAAGTTATTCAAAATTTAATCTCAGTCCCTCTCGATCGATGTGGTTTTGGTGGATAGAATCTAATGCCGACCGTGGACGTCGCGCTGATTTTAAAGCTCGCGCCATACTAGTGCTCAGGCTGCGCACTGCCAATTTACTCTAGGGAGCCACCTTAAAAGGACTATACCAAACGCTCAAAATGCCTGTCAGTCCGTTTGTTGGTTTTTGTCAAATTTTTGATAAAGAAAGACCAAATTCTGGTAATTTCCTCTAATTTACCATTGCTAAAACCTGCTGCTTTGCATACTATTCCATGCAATTTATGCTCATCGGGTATCCAAATAAAATTAATGAATCCTAAAGACGTACATAAATATCGTGGGAAAAAACGCGTCATTCTAATTACAAGGTAATTGCTTGACTTTCCTCCTCGGAAACAGTCATCAAACTGTGAATGAACTGTTTGAATATTTTCTGGAAGTACGTTTTTATTTTCCCATCAACAATTTCTTTTATGCTATTATTGGCGAAACGGCAGAGAACTTTTAACAGGCTTATTATGATGATATGCTAAATGCTGAAAACACCATGATCACCGTTTAAAAATCATGAAAAGTTATCATTTTTATGGAGTAAAATGAGCTGATTTTTACTTTTTTAGACCTTATGCGTGAGTATAATATTAACATAATTTTGGCGTCAAGTTTTGTTTTTTCGTTGACTTTCTGACAAAAAACGTGTAAGACTTTTGTAATTTGAAGCATTTTCAAGTGGGAAATGTGGCTCATGATAGTTCGACTTTAAAAGAAAAAAGTTTTACCTTGAGATTTTCCTGCTAGCGAAAAAAGTAAAACCCCCGCCAGTAATAGCACTAACCGGTGATAAAAAGCCATAGACGCGAAAACGTACAGCTCTATCAAACTACTCAAACAGGGTATGAAACCGTTTACTAGTATTTGACAAAAAATGCAATGAAACCTTTACTAACTAAAGTTTCCTTCCTTTGAAGAATGATATCAATATTTTCAAGACTGTATCAAAACACTATGCAAGTGTTTTAAGAGGGTGCTAATGGACCCAGTTCTCAGTTAACTACTATTTTTTTTGGCCGATTCTCAGTTAACTACTGATTTTGACTTTCGCTTTCCTACAGCCTGATATTATTCCGTCATAACGCGAATTTTCCTTCTTTCAGCAAGTCAATTACTTTTGGTATAGGCCTTATTAAAACCAAGGTATAAATTTACATGAACCCCGCCACGGGTACAATTTATTCATCATCATCATCATCATCATCATCATCAAGTCTCATCGCGCCAGTAGGCGCATAAAGGCCTCAGTACAATTTATTAGTAACTGAAAATATAAGTCAACAATTATCCTTTGAAATCGAGGGGAATAGTGGCAAAATATTCACCGAGATTGAAAAGAATAATTGTTTTAGTATATACACACAACGTGATCTCAACAAAATCAGAGAGGTAACCGTTAAAAAGTACGATTTGATTGACAGATCAGGTCAGTTAGACACGCGGCAGTTTAAAAATAGATCTTTGTAGAATTTTCAAACATGGCAATTCACAAGCTTATCACTTCGCAAACAACAGCGTAATGACTTAAATGGAACCGCTAAAAGTTTGAATTGTTTCCTTACCTGAGAAGAAAAGAAGAGCTTTGTTGTTTTCTGTTGACTCGCCAAGTTTATAGCCGAAAAGGTTTGTTGTGTCGTTCTTCGCATGAAGTGCTGACAAAAATGGCGATTCGGTTCCTCGAGGTAAGACGTCGTCTTCATGTAGCATTCTTTCTCGTGTTTACTTGAAACGTAGAATTTCTGCAAACATTTGCTTTCAAATTTGTTTGTCATAAATAAACTTCGTTTCTGGGCCAGATATTTCATGTTAGGAAACGGTGAGTTCACCAAACGGCCTCTTCTAGGCGAATAAACGGGAGTTGTAAACAATCCATCAACCACAAAACTCAACAACAGTAAATGGAAAAACGCCGTTTTGAATCCTTCGAAGTCTTTTCTTGCCAGAAAAAAAGTCAACCCTAGGATTTTGTCGACTTTTAAAAGATCTTTCTCTAAGAAAATGGGAAAAAAACCGAGTTCACACATTATCCACTGGCTGGGAGGTGAATATTGTTGAATAGTCCGAGATAGCGAACCAATCAGATTGCTTAAATCACCAAGATCACTGAGTGTGTATATACTAAATATGACACCAGCCTCATAGATCCAGACGCACCAGTCATGATCTCGTACCGATCTTCCGGACATGGTCATGCATGTCCGGCCATAAACTACCTCACAAAGTCACCTTCTTCGAAACTTTCATTATCTGACCGGAATCAGTCTTGTACTTATGTGACTTATGTCCAGATATTATCTGGTTGCTGTATGTCCTGTATCTTTTTGTTGGTCTAAGTTTCAATGGCATTTTTAATCCTTGCAATCCATTGCAACAGACGACGAGAGATATTATCAATGCCAAAATATAGTCTTAAGGGGCGCTTTCAAACAGTGTCTATTGCGGTCGTGCACTTCACCGAAATCATTTACAAACTCAGGAGCCCATCAAATGGAGCCTCCATCTCCCATACAAGCCCTTGGAGTCAACCCTTTCCCGAGTAGATTTATAATTAGAACGGTTCCCAGGGGAGACTTCGCGCGCCGACGGTAGGAAGAGCCAATCACAACGACGAAATCACACTGCTATTGTACTTCATCAAACAGCAGGAAATTCGTTGTTGACAGGCCAAACACAATCATAAGCTAGTGAAACGTGACTTAAGCGTTTTCATCCCTCAGAGATTTTCCCTTTTTTTCTTTCTAGCGGGGTAGATTATACTGTGGAGAGTTTTAAATTCTGACTATGTTAATCTTAATTTTGGTTGCTTGTCTCACATTAAGAGGCCATGAAGCTGGTCTGTTACATGGATTGCATAATGATTAACTACTACCTGCAGTCTGTAGTTCTGACAGGATTCGTTTTCTTTAGCCAATTTTTTCGAGCGTTAAGGTTCTTATTTCGGCTAAATGACTCAATATTAATCAAATTTCTAGTTTTTCAAGGGTTTTTTTTCCGAAATGCGTTTATCTGAATAAATACTTGTAGTCCTTGTGGTTGTTTTGTCCGTCAGGTAGTGTGATGATTCCCTGCTATGTTTTGCTGGGTCCAGCCATTGTCTTCTTGCAAAAAAGTGATCTACCGATGCGAATTGGAAGGAAGGAATTGAGCCTAAACTTCTACATTAACTGCTGAGAATTATCCTGTTAGTCAGTCATAATTCTTTTGGCGCAGATACAATCCACTTTGTGTTTCTTGAGATAAGTGGGTCCTTGGAATGGAGCGCAATGTCACAAATTCCTCCTTCAGCAAATTACTTTTGAGTTAGCTTCACGGTCGAGCAACTGTTGTCTTCTGTTCAGCTTTTCAAGTGCCAGTTTTATCAGGCAACTCTCATGGTGATACAAGTCAGTTGTAAAGGTAGACTGCAATTTCTCAAATTTCGGAACTGAAGCATTCGTCGTTAGTTGCTACTTAGGTCATCGCTTTTGCACGCGGTGCTTAACTGGCGAAATCCACTCCACGGTAATGACAAAAATCAAATGATCCTGGCACTTTTTAATTCGGCGCTGATCATCGAAAAGTTCCAAATCGTCCTCAGAACGCTTAATCGTCGACTCTTTTCAAGGTGCATGCTTAAATGTGGGATGTATAACGGCAAAAAAAAAACACCCGCAAAGATAACCTTTCCGTGATCCTCAGTTCGCTGCCTTTGTCCCATCGCTTCATGCTCAGTCTCAGTCGGGTAATTCATTAACTTTTATTTCATGATACCCAGATCCCAGCGGCTAAAAGATTGTAAAAATGGACGAAAAGGAAAAAGGGAAAACGGTCGAAGGACGGGCCTCTGAGTTCGACTGCATCCAATTTTATTTTTTCACGGTGACACACGAGACTCACGGAAATATGACACTTTTCGCGGGAAACTAGCCGTTCTATTTATAAATCTACTCGGGAAAGGGTTGACTCAAGAAATTAATGGAGATGGAGGCTCCATTTGATGGGCTCCTGACAAACTACAAATTACAAACGTTCTAATTGTGTTTGAAAATCGGATTGTATCTTCACAACCTAAGGCAATAGCAGGCTGTGATACCCTTCTTAAAAGAAACATAGATACAATTCTGTTATCAAACACAGAAATCACGTTCGTGATGTCTGTATTACAGCAAACGGATTTCGGTGAAGTGAACGACCGCAATGCACACTGGTTGAAGGTGCCCCTTTAAATAACAAAACTGGACCATTTAATTTTTGGAATTCAATTGGTGAATTTAATCACTGTTTGCACCGATGGAAGAGACATAGTTGAGAGTGCTGACAAAAGCATGAAAGTATTTGACACGGGACAATTCGACGTTTCGTGAGTATAGCCCGCTTCGAACACGTAGTTCTCTTACGCGATTCCTTTAAAGTCTTGGGCGTAGTTCAAAGCGCTAAATGTTTTGCGTTGAAGTGAGAAACCGCGTGTATGCTTTCCACCTGCGTTGTCAGAAGTTTTGTACAGATTTTACAGATTTTGTCGACATACTCTTTCGCGTCCCTCAATGTTACCTTTTTCGCAGACGTGCCTCTTTCGGGTATTTCAAAATCCTTATAAAGACATCCAAGGGTTTTAAGAAATGAAACTGATGAAACTGTTACAGAAATGCCGGTTTAAACACGAGCTTTTCTTTCTATTTAAAAAAGTCTCAATAGTTAGAACTCCAACATCAGTTACAAAAATGATTTCTCGTAAGTAAAAATTCCATGTACTTAAAAGAAAGACTGCTGATTTCTTTGAACCCTCAGAAATTCTTTTTGCCAGATCCCATGCTAAGAGTCACAGCTTTTTTATTTGGGTGGTAATGTTTAACTTGACGATCTTACTATTGGGTCCATGAAAACAGTATTTTCTTTTCCGAACAAAGAAATCTTGTTAATATTAGAAGATGAATTATTAAAACTAACACTTTCTGTGTATCGGGTACTGCCCTGGTGCCTTTTGCACATAGTAATATCAGTTCATGTGCCACTGGGTCAACAGCGGAACAGAAAAATGTCAGAAAATAACATTTCTGTTTGCAAGACTTTGTTTCTTTCATTAACATTAAGTGGTGAAACGGAAAACTCATTCCGCCTTTTACCCTCACCGGAAGTAGGCGGACTCTTATGCCCCTAGGACATTGGTGACATTTTTGTTGATTCCTTTTGCTATTTTATACTAACAGTTCCAATAAATTAAACAAAATATTGCTAAATTAATTGTAATGCTATAATTGAATAAGTCAAAATAGCAATAAACCCTTTTGCAGGAAAAAAGCAACTTTTGAAAATCGTTACTGTCAAATCTCGGTTGCGATGTGATGTCAATGTTGACGTACACGGTTTTGAAGTTATTCAACTTTTTAGCGAGGGGGTTAGGGTTGGGTGAGAGCGTCTGCTTCTCTATCTCCCCACGGTGGACAATCTACCCTGACTTAATCTAAGCATACAAGATAAAGCTAGTTTGACATGTTTTTCAGCACAGCAGACTGAATATAGAGAAGAATCATTATTACAGGCATATACAGAGAGTACCTTGAATTTCGCAAATGTAACCGCGAGGACCGGAACATCCTATGTCATTCCATCTCCCTGCATGACTGGTGGGGTACATTTCTCCACAATTTTCCTCGGACGATCTTCCATTAGGCTCGCCTTTGTACCAGTGAGTGTAGTTAGCCTGTGTTCCATCAACCCAGAGCCATCTAGAGGTGTCTCTGGGATCCCTGTACAAGCCAATAAACACTGTTTGTGATATTTTGGGGGTAAGTGCCTGTTGTTCTGCCTGTGACTTCACCATAGCAAGGGTTGAACCCATTGTTTCGCAGGCTTTCTTTGCTGCTTTCCAGCTCAGTCTGCTATAGGAGATTTTATAGCATGAACTTTGGAGATGGACCCAGCCATTTGGACAAACACCTGTAGTATTAGCATAGTGTAGAGGTTGGTCAAAGCTCTTTATCAGCTCCTACGTTAAGGCGTCAAGTGGAAATAATTTTTAATTATCTTCATTTTTTAAAACATGCATGCCGTTTATTTTTATATTCAAAAGATGGAGTTTGTGAAGATTAATCTAACAAACATTCTCATTCCCCCAAGCATGAAAGTATTTTGCGGGTGAAATTCTGCGGCAGCGACCTTTCCAAAGTCACTCATGTAAGGAGAAGCTAGACACACTCTTGAAAGCAGTACGCACAAGAGTCGCCCGTGGAGCGCAACACAAGGGAGAAGAGAAAAAGAAACGACACCTCTAAAGAGCAGTCCACCTCAAAAGGACTATTCTTAACGCTCCAAATGCCTATCAGTCTGTTTGTTACGGCGGCCGAAAGTCAAAACGCAAAATCAAAAGTCGATTTTTAAAGTCGATCTTCAAAGTGAAAAGTGAAAAGTGATAATCAAAAATCAAAAGTTGATTTACGAACTAAGAAGTCCATTCAAAAAGTAAGTTTTCAACTTGAAAAGTCAAACTCGAAAGTGAAAAGTCACTTTACGATGTAAGCAGTCTTTTCAAAAATGTCGACTCAAAAAGCTCAATTTTTAACTTGAAAGTCGATATGAAATGTCCATTTCTGAAGCACGAAACTGGAGTTTCGACAACTCACTTTTCACTTCCCTTCCTACTTCCATCCCCTTAGCTTTTAAATATCCTTTGCACAATAAATAATGTAGGTAGTTGTTACTAGACTCAGACTAAGCGACTTGCGTTGAGGTCTTTGCAGACTACTTTTTTGACGTTTCCGTGTTTCAAATTGTCTTAAATTGTGTTAAAGTCATTCACAGTAGATGACAGCTGTCAGACAGCAGCCTAGTCCCCAGGCGTTTCCGGCTCGGTCATTCCTGGACTCTACCATGAGCTATGACGTCACCGGGAGATACTTGCCCGCTCTGGTATATACTTCATAGTAGAAAGCCACAAGTGCACCGGTAATATACACTCTGTGTAATATGTAGTATTGTGTCTTCTACCTAATAGCTAGTGGTAGTTACTTGTAGTTACTAGTAGTTACTAGTAGTTACTAGTAGTTAGTGGTAGTTATTAGTGGTTACTGGTAGTTACTAGTAGTTGTCGGTAGTTACTGGTAGTTACTAGTAGTCAATAGTAGTTCTGGGTATTTACTAGTAGTTACTGGTAGTTACTAGTAGTTACAGGTAGTTAGTGGTAGTTACTGGTAGTTACTAGTAGTTGCTGGTAGTTACTGGTAGTTACTAGTAGTTCCTAGTAGTTACCGGTAGTTACTAGCAGTTACTGGTAGTTACTAGTAGCTACTGGTAGTTACTAGTACTTGTCGGTAGTTACTAGTAGTTACTGGTAGTTACTAGTAGTTGTCGGTAGTTACTAGTAGATAGTGGTAGTTATTAGTAGTTACTGGTAATTACTAGTAGTAACTGGTAGTTATTAGTAGTTACTGGTAGTTACTAGTAGTTACTAGTAGTTGTCGGTAGGTAGTAGTAGTTACTAGCAGTTAATAGTAGTTCTTAGTATTTACTAGTAGTTAATGGTAGTTATTAGTAGTTACTGGTAGTTACTAGTAGTTATTGGTAGTTACTAGTAGTTGTCGGTAGTTACTAGCAGTTACTAGTAGTTAATAGTAGTTCTTGGTATTTACTAGTAGTTACTGGTAGTTATTAGTAGTTAATGGTAGTTACTAGTAGTTACTGGTAGTTACTAGTAGCTACTGGTAGTTACTAGTAGTTGCTGGTAGTTACTGGCAGTTGTTGGTAGTTACTAGTAGTTCCTAGTAGTTATCGGTAGTTACTAGTAGTTACTGGTAGTTACTAGTAGTTGTCGGTAGTTACTAGTAGTTAATAGTAGTTCTTGGTATTTACTAGTAGTTGTGGTAGTTATTAGTAGTTACTGGTAGTTACTAGTAGTTACTGGTAGTTACTAGTAGTTGTCGGTAGGTAGTAGTAGTTACTAGTAGTTAATGGTAGTTATTAGTAGTTACTGGTAGTTACTAGTAGTTATTGGTAGTTACTAGTAGTTGTCGGTAGTTACTAGCAGTTACTAGTAGTTAATAGTAGTTCTTGGTATTTACTAGTAGTTACTGGTAGTTATTAGTAGTTAATGGTAGTTACTAGTAGTTACTGGTAGTTACTAGTAGCTACTGGTAGTTACTAGTAGTTGCTGGTAGTTACTGGCAGTTGTTGGTAGTTACTAGTAGTTCCTAGTAGTTATCGGTAGTTACTAGTAGTTACTGGTAGTTACTAGTAGTTGTCGGTAGTTACTAGTAGTTAATAGTAGTTCTTGGTATTTACTAGTAGTTGTGGTAGTTATTAGTAGTTACTGGTAGTTACTAGTAGTTACTGGTAGTTACTAGTAGTTGTCGGTAGGTAGTAGTAGTTACTAGTAGTTAATGGTAGTTATTAGTAGTTACTGGTAGTTACTAGTAGTTATTGGTAGTTACTAGTAGTTGTCGGTAGTTACTAGCAGTTACTAGTAGTTAATAGTAGTTCTTGGTATTTACTAGTAGTTACTGGTAGTTATTAGTAGTTACTGGTAGTTACTAGTAGTTACTGGTAGTTACTAGTAGTTGCTAGTAGTTGTGGGTAGTTACTAGTAGTTACTAGTAGTTAATGGTAGTTATTGGTATTTACTAGTAGTTACTGGTAGTTACTAGTAGTTGTCGGTAGTTGTTAGTAGTTACTAGTAGTTAATGGTAGTTCTTGGTATTTACTAGTAGTTACTGGTAGTTATTAGTAGTTACTGGTAGTTACTAGTAGTTAGTGGTAGTTATTAGTAGTTACTGGTATATACTAGTAGTTACTGGTAGTTACTAGTAGTTGCCAGTAGTTGTTGGTAGTTACTAGTAGTTACTAGTAGTTGATGGTAGTTATTGGTATTTTCTAGTAGTTACTGGTAGTCACAAGTAGTTGTCGGTAGTTACTAATAGTTACTAGTAGTTAATGGTAGTGCTTGTTGTTTACTAGTAGTTACTAGTAGTTCCTAGTAGTTATCGGTAGTTACTGGTAGTTACTAGTAGTTGTCGGTAGTGATTAGTAGTTACTGGTAGTTAGTAGTAGTTGTCGGTAGTTAGTAGTGGTTGCTAGTAGTTGGTGGTGGTTACTGGTAGTTCCTAGTAGCTACTGGTAGTTACTAGTAGTTGTCGGTAGTTACTAGTAGTTACTAGTAGTTCTTGGCATTTACTAGTAGTTAGTGGTAGTTATTAGTAGTTACTGGTAGTTACTAGTAGTTGCTGGTAGTTACTAGTAGTTGCTAGTAGTTATCGGTAGTTACTAGTGGTTACTAGTAGTTGGTTGTATTTATTGGTAGTTACTAGTAGTTACTAGTAGTTACTAGTAGTTGGTGGTAACTACTGGTAGTTGTCGGTAGTTACTAGTAGTTACTGGTAGTTCCTAGTAGTTAATAGTAGTTATTGGTAGTTACTGTTAGTTGTCGGTAGTTACTGGTAGTTACTAGTAGTTATCAGTAGTTACTAGTAGTTACTTGTAGTTACTAGTAGTTGTCGATAGTTACTAGTAGTTGGTGTTATAAGTTATTGGTATTTACTAGTAGTTGCTGGTAGTTACTAGTAGTTGCTGGTAGTTTCTAATAGTTACCGGTAATTACTGATTCGAGTCGACAGCTTTTATTTGCTTGGACTATTTCTGTTGACGCTGTTGAAGTGGAAGTCTAGAAATATAACAGAGCACTTAATGTCAGGTCCCGCGCGGAAAAACATATTTAAACATATTTTTCCTCAAGTAATGATGTTTCCCTTGTTGATTTCGTCTCGGGAAACATCAGGACTCTCGGCGTTCTCAATTCCTTTCCTGTAGGTTCCACCAATGTTCACACAAAGCAATCACTTTAAGTAGACTTTATTTGTGAAAGTTTTTCTTAAACTTAATATACACAGAATGACAGGTTGGCTCATATATTCCATTTAAAGAGACATGTATTTCAGTCTCAATATCATAACTCTTTTCCTTTAATTTTATTTCTACTAATTTATAAAATCATCACTTAATGATGTCGCTGACATAGTCATTATGATCACATTGAAAACCTTATAAACAGTAATAGTCTCTAATGTGTTTGAAGTAAATATCCATTTCCCAATTGTGGAAGTCCTCTGTAAAACCAATGTTACACTAAAGGTTCTCTTTCCATAATTTGATACAAACGGTTTTAATTATCTAATTGTATGGCGGCTGGGTAGGTGGATTTTTCAAAAATCAAATTTTTTGATGTTGTATCAGCAACATTTAAAATTTCCTTCTGAATATAAAGGGATTTTCATTTCTTCATATTGCTTCTAAGGTGTGATCATAATGACCTGTTAAGATTTGATCTCAAAAGTGGTAACCGTCGATTAAGATTACTAAGCGGTACCTTGCACTTTCTATCGGTGTAAAATTTGCACTTGTCAGTACTGTGCCAAGTGGCTTACTGGCACCTCTTTTCACGCTTGTGTTTTTTGCACCTCGGAAGAGGTAAATTAATGAGCAGCTCGCTTATGTTTTTCACTGACTGTGGGTCGTCTAAGCCAATAGGAACTGTCTGCCTTGCCAAAATTGATACGAAGCTTTCTTTGGTCCCCCTTGAGTAGAAATTATTCTTTTGGCCTTCAAAAGTCAGAAAAGTGAAAGTTCTGAAAGAAGAGCAGTGACGGTTTTGCTTGTGCCGCTTGGGCCATGGGCCACTGTCACAGGACAGTTCAAGTCTGTTTCGAGAATCGTACGGTAATGAAACGACATCGCAGTTGGTCCCAGCAAGAACAAAGAGCTCATAGCCTTATGAAGCCAGATATTCCCTTTGGGCAGTTCTCCCAGCACTGTCATTTAAATGTATTTCTACCTATCATCAGTATAATACCACTG